ACAGACCTACTCCTCCATTTGACCTAGTTTTTCTATCACATCTATATAGATTATAATTTGGAATCCAGATTTCACCATCCATGTAATCTTTTGTATGAGTTTCCGTGAATGCCCCAAATATTGAGTTTGACTCTAATAGAAGGCCATTTATGAACTTAACTTTATTTCTTGACTTTGGCTTTAAACCTTGAATGTTTGCAAATATGAATGATTGTCCATATTGTGTGTCACTTCTGGAAGGTTTTGGTAGTTCTCCCTCCTCTCTACCCTGACCCAGGGTGTGTTGTTGTGGCAATGGTTTGTCCAGTTTTGGAAGTGATACTGGGGAGTGTGGTAGTCTCTGTGTAGTTGGGGGGTGTAGTATGTGTGGGCTTGATGACGAACTGTAGTCCAGTCTTGGGCATTTCCCCCTCTCCATCCGTACTCCTGCCACGTTTCTGCCTGTCTGTTTCTCCCTCTGTTTGTACCTGCCTCTAAAAAATTTTCAGGGCTATTATGTTGGACTTCTTCTCTTATATGGCGCTGTGTACCTCTGACGTGGAAATCGGGGCAGTGAAGATCGTAGCATTTCCTCTCATTGACTGAGAGTGTGCATAGCTTAGGGTGAAAATATCTACACTCTGTATCAAAACGACATCTGCCTTTCCCTAACCAGTTTCGGCATTTCCGTGGGTGCATGAATGAGCATTCCGTGCCTCTGGGCCCATATCTACACTGTCCTTTTGCATAATACCAGCAAATATTTTCATTTGTGATTGTATTATTCTTGTTTGTACCCGTGCACGACTTGGCTACCTCTGTGTTTTTTGTTCCAACTTTCTCGTTTCTGCATTCATTCTCGGTATTGCCCTTATCTTTCTCCTTGTTGCTTTCGTCTTTCTCATTTGTGTTCTCATTCGTCTCATTTTTTCTCTCCTTATTCATATCACCAGTGTGCTCTACAATATTGCCTTCATTTTTGTGTACCTCGACACTATACCCTTCTACATTGCTACTTTGACTCTCTAAATTCTCAGTCCCTGGGTTGTGTTCAGAGTTCGTTGCTGTCTTTATATACTCTGCATATATTTCTGGTAGTTTTTGTGTGAATTGTAGCCTGTGTACTTCAGGAATGTTATTCATTAGTTTGGTGATGTTTTCCCACATCTGTCTGTCTCTTTGACAGATCCAGTAGTTACCTTCCCGGTTTGCATATTGTGTAGGTAATCCTGTACAACTCAGGTGAAACCTTATGTTACAAATGTTACATACAATGCCTACAACACTCTTCCGAAGTGACTTAAGGCAGCCTCCACACACCTCCATGTTGGGTTTGTGATGTTATAATAATATATGCATATATTTAAGTATTATATGTATGTATATATAATATGTATCCAGTATATTTATAATATTACATATGTTTATTTGTTCAAGTTTATGTGGGGGTACTTATCGCCTTGTGGAGAAAATATGGTCGTCTTGGGACCGTCCAGTTGACCGTTGTTTGTCCCAGGTCGGGGGCAGGATGGGCAACCAGGATGTCACTGGTTGCCAGTTACTTGATTTATACACTGATTATGTGCCTGTAATATCCTAAGGGAATTTCTGCTTTCTTCCGGCTTGTAATGTTATTCACTTACTCTATTACTAGTTCCTAGCTCCACTTTCCCGTATTACAGTATATATTGCCAGTATATTATCACTGAGGGAGTATACTGTTACTGCGGGACGTCCTCTACACTGTGTAGGCCTCGTGGCTGTGTAATAAACAGCCTAGTGTGATGCCTCCTCCACAACTTTACATTTATACTTTTTCTTTGTACAATTCTCTAACACTATCCACTAATTTATATGTTGTGTTACACGTTCCACTTCACTGTTCAACGTATCACTGCTCGCTATATTTGATATATATCGCTTATGCCTGTACACATGAGCCTGGTGGCACTGGCTCACCACGTGGGACCACCTTTATTCTGTATTTAACTCAAATTTCCATTGTTAATTTCTGTATTCTATTTTCCTACGGGTCACTATGCACTTGGTGATCACTGTGGGCCGTAATCCATGGTTGTAATCCTAAAAAAACCCGGTTTATTCCAGTGTTTTAACGGAGCGCGACGACGACACGTCTGTCCCCTCCCCCGCCAACTACTTCCTGACTACTTCCTACTTTTAGTGGTACTGGTGGTGGTGGTGGTGGTACTGGTGGTGGTGGTGGTGGTGTTTGTGGTGGTGGTGGTGGTGGTGGTGGTTGTGGTGGTGGTGGTACTGGTGGTGGTGGTGGTGGTGGTGGTACTGGTGGTGGTGGTGGTGGTGGTGCTTGTGGTGGTGGTGGTGGTGGTGGTGGTGATACTGGTGGTGGTGGTGGTGATACTGATGGTGGTGGTGGGTGGTTGTGGTGGTGGTGGTACTGGGGGTGGTGGTGGTTGTGGTGGTGGTGGTACTGGTGGTGTTGGTGCTTGTGGTGGTGGTGGTGGTGGTGGTTCTGGTGGTACTGGTGGTGGTGGTGGTGGTGGTAGTGGTGGTACTGGTGGTACTGGTGGTGGTGGTGTTGGTGCTTGTGGTGGTGGTGGTGGTGGTTGTGGTGGTACTGGTGGTACTGGTGGTGTTGGTGGTGGTTGTGGTGGTGGTGGTGGTGGTGGTGGTTGTGGTGGTGGTGGTGGTGGTGGTTGTGGTGGTGGTGGTGGTGGTGGTGGTACTGGTGGTGGTGGTGGTGGTACTGGTGGTACTGGTGGTGGTGGTGGTTGTGGTGGTAGTGGTACTGGTGGTGGTGGTGGTGGTGGTTGTGGTGGGGGAGGTACTGGTGGTAGTGGTGGTTGTGTTGGTGGTGGTGCTGGTTGTCGTGGTGGTGGTGCTGGTGGTGCTTGTGGTGGTGGTGGTGGTGTTTGGTGGTGGTGATGGTGGTGTTTGGTGGTGGTGATGGTGGTGTTTGGTGGTGGTGATGGTGGTGGTGATGGTCCTGGTGGTGCTGGTGGTGGTGGTGCTGGTGGTGGTGGTGGTGCTGGTGGTGGTGGTGGTGGTGATGGTCCTGGTGGAGGTGGTGCAGGTGGTGGTGGTGCTGGTGGTGCTGGTGGTGGTGATGCTGGTGGTGGTGGTGCTGGTGGTGCTGCTGCTGGTGGTGCTGGTGGTGGTGCTGCTGCTGGTGGTGGTGGTGGTGCTGCTGCTGGTGGTGGTGGTGCTGCTGCTGCTGGTGGTGGTGGTGGTGCTGGTGGTGGTGGTGGTGGTGGTGCTGGTGGTGGTGGTGGTGGTGCTGGTGGTGGTGGTGGTGGTGCTGGTGGTGGTGGTGATGGTCCTGGTGGTGGTGCTGCTGCTGGTTGTGGTGGTGCTGGTGGTGGTGGTGCTGCTGCTGCTGGTGGTGGTGGTGGTGCAGGTGGTGGTGGTGGTGGTGGTGCAGGTGGTGGTGGTGGTGCTAGTGCTGGTGGTGGTGCTGGTGGTGGTGCAGGTGGTGGTGGTGAGAGTGACAGAGTGGGGGTGTCAACAGCTGTTGTCATTGATGGGAGTATTGGACAGGGACGATGGACGAGTGAGAAGAATAACACAACATGGGAGAGACCACATTGGTGACAACGTGGGCGAAGCGGTATGGTCCACACAACGTGGGCGAAGCGGTATGGGGCCACACAACGTGGGCGAAGCGGTATGGTCCACACAACGTGGGCGAAGCGGTATGGTCCACACAACGTGGGCGAAGCGGTATGGGGCCACACAACGTGGGCGAAGCGGTATGGTCCACACAACGTGGGCGAAGCGGTATGGTCCACACAACGTGGGCGAAGCGGTATGGTCCACACAACGTGGGCGAAGCGGTATGGTCCACACAACGTGGGCGAAGCGGTATGGTCCACACAACGTGGGCGAAGCGGTATGGTCCACACAACGTGGGCGAAGCGGTATGGGCCACAACGTGGGCGAAGCGGTTTGGAGCCCCACAATGTGGGCGAAGCGGTATGGGCCACAATGTGGGCGAAGCGGTATGGGCCACAATGTGGGCGAAGCGGTATGGTCCACTCAACGTGGGCGAAGCGGTATGGTCCACACAACGTGGGCGAAGCGGTATGGTCCACACAACGTGGGCGAAGCGGTTTGGAGCCCCACAATGTGGGCGAAGCGGTATGGGCCACAATGTGGGCGAAGCGGTATGGTCCACACAACGTGGGCGAAGCGGTATGGGCCACAACGTGGGCGAAGCGGTTTGGAGCCACACAACGTGGGCTACTTTTTTAAATTAAATCATATTATATAAGTGGAAAAAATACACGCTCATTAAATTAGATAATGTTCGGGGCGGTTAATGCTAGTAGTGAGTTGCCTGTCTGTCTGTCCTGCCTGTCCTGCCTGTCCTGCCTGTCCTGACTGTCCTGCCTGGCCTGACTGGCCTGCCTGGCCTGACTGGCCTGCCTGTCCTGCCTGTCCTGACTGTCCTGCCTGGCTTGCCTGGCCTGCCTGGCCTACCTGGCCTGCCTGTCCTGACTGTCCTGACTGTCCTGACTGTCCTGCCTGTCCTGACTGTCCTGCCTGTCCTGACTGTCCTGCCTGTCCTGACTGTCCTGCCTGTCCTGACTGTCCTGCCTGTCCTGACTGTCCTGCCTGTCCTGCCTGTCCTGACTGGCCTGCCTGTCCTGACTTTCCTGACTGTCCTGCCTGTCCTGCCTGTCCTGACTGGCCTGACTGTCCTGACTGGCCTGCCTGGCCTGCCTGGCCTGCCTGTCCTGACTGTCCTGACTGTCCTGACTGTCCTGACTGTCCTGCCTGTCCTGCCTGTCCTGACTGTCCTGCCTGTCCTGACTGTCCTGCCTGTCCTGACTGTCCTGCCTGGCCTGCCTGTCCTGCCTGTCCTGACTGTCCTTCCTGGCCTGACTGTCCTGCCTGTCCTGACTGTCCTGACTGTCCTGACTGTCCTGCCTGTCCTGACTGTCCTGCCTGTCCTGACTGTCCTGCCTGTCCTGCCTGTCCTGACTGGCCTGCCTGTCCTGACTTTCCTGACTGTCCTGCCTGTCCTGCCTGTCCTGACTGGCCTGACTGTCCTGACTGTCCTGACTGGCCTGCCTGGCCTGCCTGTCCTGACTGTCCTGACTGTCCTGACTGTCCTGCCTGTCCTGCCTGTCCTGACTGTCCTGCCTGTCCTGACTGTCCTGACTGTCCTGCCTGTCCTGCCTGTCCTGACTGTCCTGCCTGTCCTGACTGTCGTGCCTGGCCTGACTGTCCTGCCTGTCCTGCCTGTCCTGACTGTCCTGCCTGTCCTGACTGTCCTGACTGTCCTGACTGTCCTGCCTGGCCTGCCTGGCCTGACTGTCCTGACTGTCCTGCCTGTCCTGACTGTCCTGCCTGTCCTGACTGTCCTGCCTGTCCTGACTGTCCTGCCTGGCCTGCCTGTCCTGCCTGTCCTGACTGGCCTGCCTGTCCTGACTGTCCTGACTGGCCTGCCTGTCCTGACTGGCCTGACTGTCCTGACTGGCCTGCCTGTCCTGACTGTCCTGACTGTCCTGACTGGCCTGCCTGTCCTGACTGTCCTGACTGTCCTGACTGTCCTGCCTGTCCTGACTGTCCTGACTGTCCTGCCTGGCCTGCCTGTCCTGACTGGCCTGACTGTCCTGCCTGGCCTGACTGGCCTGACTGTCCTGACTGTCCTGCCTGTCCTGACTGTCCTGCCTGTCCTGACTGTCCTGACTGTCCTGCCTGTCCTGACTGTCCTGACTGCCCTGACTGTCCTGACTGTCCTGACTGTCCTGCCTGTCCTGACTGTCCTGACTGTCCTGCCTGTCCTGACTGGCCTGCCTGTCCTGCCTGTCCTGCCTGTCCTGACTGTCCTGCCTGTCCTGACTGTCCTGCCTGTCCTGACTGTCCTGACTGTCCTGCCTGGCCTGACTGTCCTGCCTGGCCTGACTGTCCTGACTGGCCTGACTGTCCTGACTGGCCTGACTGTCCTGCCTGTCCTGACTGTCCTGCCTGTCCTGACTGTCCTGCCTGGCCTGACTGTCCTGCCTGGCCTGACTGTCCTGACTGTCCTGACTGTCCTGACTGTCCTGCCTGGCCTGACTGTCCTGCCTGGCCTGACTGTCCTGACTGTCCTGACTGTCCTGACTGTCCTGCCTGGCCTGCCTGCCTGCCTGCCCTACCTGCCTGCCTGCCTGCCTGCCTGCCTGCCCTACCTGCCTGCCTGCCTGCCCTACCTACCTGCCTGCCTGCCTGCCTGCCCTACCTGCCTGCCTGCCTGACCTGCCTGCCCTACCTGCCTGCCTGACCTGCCTGCCCTACCTGCCTGCCTGCCTGCCCTACCTGCCTGCCTGCCTGCCTGCCCTACCTGCCTGCCTGCCCTACCTGCCTGCCTGCCTGCCTTACCTGCCTGCCTGCCTTACCTGCCCTACCTGCCTGCCTGCCTGCCCTACCTGCCTGCCTGCCCTACCTGCCTGCCTGCCTGCCTTACCTGCCTGCCTGCCTTACCTGCCCTACCTGCCTGCCTGCCCTACCTGCCTGCCTGCCCTACCTACCTGCCTGCCATGCCTACCTGCCTGCCTGCCTGCCTGCCTGCCTACCTACCTACCCTGCCTGCCTGCCTGCCTGCCTGCCTGCCTGCCTGCCTGCCTGCCTGCCTGCCTACCTACCTACCTACCTACCTACCTACCTACCTACCTACGTACCTACCATACCTGCCTACCTACCTACCCTACCTGCCTACACCCACACACCAGACCGGAGTATAACCGATCACAACACCGCGACCATCAACCAGTCCCCGAGACTGCCCGCCGGAGCACCCAGGAGGGTTATCTTGAGGGTTCGATCCCGGGCGCCGGCGAGAAACAATGGGCAGAGTTTCTTTCACCCTATGCCCCTGTTACCTAGCAGTAAAATAGGTACCTGGGAGTTAGTCAGCTGTCACGGGCTGCTTCCTAGGGGTGGAGGCCTGGTCGAGGACCGGGCCGCGGGGACACTAAAGCCCCGAAATCATCTCAAGATAACCTCAAGATACACAGATTATACATAAAATATACATGCAGTTGACCGGACGCTTGGCTAAAACTGACAAGGAAAGGCCACGTAGTCAGGCTACAGTTTACACACACATGACACGTTTCACTGGATACGTGATCCTTTGGTCCCGGGTTCGATCCCGGGCGCTGGCGAGAAACGATGGGCAGAGTTTCCTTCACCCTATGCCCCTGTTACCTAGCAGTAAATAGGTACCTGGGAGTTAGTCAGGTGTCACAGGCTGCTTCCTGGGGTGTGTGGGTGTGGTGTGGGAAAAAAAGTAGTAATAATAGTAGTAGTAGAAACAGTTGATTGACAGTTGAGAGGCGGGGCGAAAGAGCAGAGCTCAACCCCTGGAAGCACAACTAGGTGAATACACATCTGGGCCATCAAGATGTGTCAAATGTGATCCATGAAGCATTTACGTGTTCAGATACGAAACCTGTAGATCATTCATCAGTCATGGTGACTGATGAACACGTTGGTCGAGGACGACCTCCAAGCTCCTCAACTCTTCAATAAATACAAATTAATTACAAAAACAAATTTGAGGACAGATGTACAGGCTTCGTAAATGAATGCATCGGGAACTGATCTTTACTTCCAAATTGATCTGGTTCTGTAATTAGCATCCAAAACTTGGATGCTAATTATGTTCTGTTATATAATTATGTTCTTGATGTTCTGTTCTTGTCTCTACCCTGGTAATGATCTGAGTAGCCTGACAGCAGCTGTGGTTCAAGTATGTTTATTGAGACAAGAAAGAAATACATCTCAAAGGGATAGAGTAGCTTAGGCTATTTCTACCCCCCCCCCTCCCCCTTCAGCTGTGGTTGTGTGGAGGTTGTTGAAGTACTTACTGCCTTAAGGTCAACCCCTCCTATCATACAGTATGTTGTATTGTGACGTATAAACCCTCCAAGGCCAAACAAAAAAAAAAAAACATTTTTATGACGTGATAACTCGAGTGACGTCACGTTACTGTGTGTGTGTACTCACCTAGTTGTGCTTGCGGGGGTTGAGCTCTGGCTCTTTGGTCCCGCCTCTCAACTGTCAATCTACTGGTGTACAGGTTCCTGAGCCTACTGGGCTGTATCATATCTACATTTGAAGCTGGGTATGGAGACAGCCTCCACCACATCACTGCCTAATGCATTCCACCTGTTAACTACTCTGACACTGAAAAAGTTCTTTCTAACGTCCCTGTGGCTCATTTCGGTACTCAGTTACCACACGTGTCCACTTGTGCGTGCACAACCCGTGTTAAATAACGTATTTATGTACTCTATCAATTCCTATGAGAATCTTGTATGTGGTGATCATGTCTCCCTTAACTCTTGTGTCTTCCAGCGACGTGAGGTTTACTTCCCATAGTCTTTCCTTGTAGCTCGTACCCCTCGGCTTGCCAAGGAGATCCATTAGTGGTTAGTGGCACTTGCCGCAGGAATTCACTAAGCAGTTTACTAAGAAAATGTCAGAAACACCAGTAAAGGCATTAAAGGTTGAATGAAGTTAAGATATGAATGTGAAATGAGTAAAGACGTCCAGTGGTGTGACTCCAGTAGTGTAACTCCAGTGGTGTGGCAGCCAAGCTTGGAGTCCCTGAGACAGGGCTCAACACTCTCGGTTAAGGAAAGGACAACGCAGGTAAAGCCAGGTTGGTACCATACCCAAAGTCATACAGAATTCTATCATGAAAATGATAATATACACGGGCGTAGATTGTAGCATACACTTCAGTCATCACTTACACCAGGAAACCCAGTGACGGAGGTTCGATCCCATAGTAGGTAGGCCCTTAACCATACACTAGGTATTAGTCAGAGAAATATTAGCGCTGCCAAATCGTAATCTAGTTAACTGTAATGCAGAATTATAAACAAGAATCGGAGCTCTGAAATTCAAGAATCGGAGCTCTGAAATTCAAGAATCGGAGCTCTGAAATTCAAGAATTGGAGCTCTGAAATTCACTAATCGGAGTTCTGAAATTCACTAATCGGAGTTCTGAAATTCACTAATCGGAGCTCTGAAATTCACTAATCGGAGCTCTGAAATTGAAGAATCGGAGCTCTGAAATTCAAGAATCGGAGCTCTGGAATTCAAGAATCGGAGCTCTGGAATTCAAGAATCGGAGCTCTGAAATTCAAGAATCGGAGCTCTGAAATTCAAGGATCGGAGCTCTGAAATTCAAGAATCGTAGCTCTGAAATTCAAGTATCGGAGCTCTAAAATTCAAGAATCGGAGCTCTGAAATTCAAGAATCGGAGCTCTGAAATTCAAGAATCGGAGCTCTGAAATTCAAGAGTTGGAGCTCTGAAATTCAAGAATCGGAGCTCTGAAATTCAAGAATCGGAGCTCTGAAAATGCTGGCCAATCACGCCACTTACTGACAACAACTCTCCACACAAACAAACTGCTGAGAGAAGCACTCAGTAGTCGAGGCCATGGCGAGCAAGTCCCTTTAATTTTCTTGTTGAAATACTGCCCCAACATGGTAGACATGGTCGCTTTACAACATTCCAATCATGGATCTCCCGAGTGCCACCGGTGTCTGGTTAGACGTTGGCACTCCTCTCCCTGACTCCTCCTTGGGTCCCGAGTGCCACCGGTGTCTGGTTAGACGTTGGCACTCCTCTCCCTGACTCCTCCTTGGGTCCCGAGTGCCACCGGTGACTGGTTAGACGTTGGCACTCCTCTCCCTGACTCCTCCTTGGGTCCCGAGTGCCACCGGTGTCTGGTTAGACGTTGGCACTCCTCTCCCTGACTCCTCCTTGGGTCCCGAGTGCCACCGGTGTCTGGTTAGACGTTGGCACTCCTCTCCCTGACTCCTCCTTGGGTCCCGAGTGCCACCGGTGTCTGGTTAGACGTTGGCACCCCTCTCCCTGACTCCTCCTTCGGTCCAGAATAGTGTTCCCTTCAAGGGCGAAGACTTATGACTTTAAGACTCCAGTTATTACTCAATACCTCCTTCTTGTATGGAGTTAGCCTTTAGTACATTCCCCCTCCATGTATAGTTAATCTACACTCCCTTTGTGTATGGAGTTGGTCACAAGTATACCTTCCGCCACATGTAAATGTGTGTCTATGAAGGTAAATCACCATCACAGCGTATCACATGAATTATTTCCTGTTCAACTTGGGGTCAAGTATTACCCAGCAGGAGTGGTCGTAGCACCTCCCCTGCTTCACCCCTCACTGCCTCACCCCTCACTGCCTACCTCAAGCACCACACTATCACAACAAACTTTATAAAATCCTCAGTGTGGCTTTCACACATCCTTCCCCCTCAGCACCCACGGGTAGACTGCACATCTTCCCTCTGGGGAATGCTTGTTGCTTCCGTCCCAGTCACTTAGGCAGTCTGTCTTGTAGATCCCGTTGGCTTAGGCAGTCTGGCTTGTAGCCAATGGTGGCCAGTAGCCAGTGGCTTTCTGAGAGATGTTTGTGCTTCCATCCCATTGGCTTAGGCAGTCTGAGTGATGGGTTGGGGTGCTTGTGATTGGCTGTGAGCCGCCTGGAGTTCGGCAGTAATAAATGAAAGAGCGAGTCTCAGGTGCCAAAAAGGTCACTGTTTGTTGACGTTTCCAGGTCATCTTACCACTCAAGTTGTCGCTGATGTGCTGGGGGTCTCAGAGGGGAGGGGGTGTGCAGTGAAGGGGTCCCAAATTGGGTTAAAGAGCCACAGTAGTCAGAGGTGGGGGTAGCGACGGTGTCACAGTAGTTGGGGATTAATTAGCTTGGGTATACATTTAACATTCTGATGCAGTTAGCTTCCCTATGAAACTAAAATGCGTAATCAAATTTCCGTCTCCTTCAGTGATTGGTCGAACTCCACAACAATGCTATTTGTCAAATATAGATACTGTTCTTAAAAGATTCCCCCATTTTGCACCCGCAAGATAACGTAAGATTTTAAGGGTTGACAGATGTTAAATCTTCTTGTTTGATAAGCTGTTCACTTGAGACAGTCAAGCAAGTCCCAGCTGCGTCTGGGTACAAGTGACAGGATG